GACAAAATGGATGTGTTCACTGCCCCCCCCCCCCTCAAAAAAAAAAAAAAGAATCCTTATTCCGCTTCCTCTGAATACTTTTCTCAACAAGCTCAAGTACTTCATCTGCATTTAAATCCAAGGATGGACTCAGTGCGTGGTGGTGGTTATCGTCGAAACTTGAAAACTATGAGAACAGCAGAGCTCACATTGACTCATCGCTTGCATGGAGGGAACTTACAAGTTTGTCCGTGAGTAAGTGAACAGTATTGAAAGCAATGCTCAAGGTTTAATTAAACAAGAAAGCAAAATGTGGAGATTATTCGTTTTCTCCAAAGCAGAATCTGTCGGTAGGCTATCGGTCGCGAAGGAGTTAAAGATGATTTGGGAGGACAAAAATCAAAACAATATCTTGGAGTGAAATTACTAATCACATAGATCAACCCGGAAAGAATATGTCCTTCAAAACCAGCTTAGTACAAGACCAAATACGTACACATGTCTCCACAATTATAAAACGAATTTATTTGTAATATTGTACGATCACGAAATAAAATCATGCAGCAAGCTAATGAAGTCAAATATTTTCGATTATTAAGCACCTGACATACCGGTATCAAAGTTCTAAAATTTCAAGGTACGTTTACATTGTTAAGAAGCTAGTGAGTCTTTATATTCAGTTCATCGACACTTAAGGAAAAGCCGCTGAAAACGTTGCGAAGACTTTTGAGAAAATACGTAGGGCCTACGGATGTCTTAGACATAGCCTATTGCTTGCAGAGGTCAATGTTATCATGATGCTGCGGTCATGAAAGGTCGACATCACGGTGTCCAAAAGAGTACACGTATTCCAGAAGTAAATCCTTAAGCACAATTCATTGCCTGTTCAAACTATTCTCTGAATTAGGCGAGAATTCGGGCTGCTGAAATTTAAGTCAATCAGTCACATTTTTAGGTCTACACACATTTTTACTCAGCTTCAACACACTGCTAGGACGTCTTCATTAAATCGCTGGAGCGCCAGAGAAGAAGCCGTTAAGACATTAATGGGATAAATTGTATAAAATTATGGAAACCTTTGGGACATTGACTAGTACAGATACAAATTCTAGATCTGATTGATCAGTGGTGTCACTAGGGTCGGTGCGGTAAGGTCATGGTGTCACCGCCCTCTCTCAACTTTCTCCAAAATTTCTCAATAAACACTAGCGTTAGTATGTTTGTTTTTTAGTGAGTTGATTACTTTCTTTCATTGATTGTTGCTCAAATGTAAAATGAGTGTCAACTATATTATACAATTCCCTTGTTTATGACATTTATTCAATAGTTATTGCATATTTTACAATGCAAGTTTGTTAAAATTAGAAACACACTTTTCATCACCTGAACATGTTTCCTTTTTTAGACATTAAGACAGAAAAGGAATAGGCCTACGATCATGCTGTATTGTTCAAACTTTGACTACCATTTAGACCACAAAATGTACGTTTACCGTCCTTTTAAACAGCAAAGGGTCTGGGGAGAACCCTACAGGCCAAGCGCTTTTCAGCATTTCTGAGTTTCAGAAACTCATTCTCGATAAGTCTAAACTTGTACCATTTCTCCTAGTAAGAATATTGCAAGTCATTTAAATTAAAATAAGAAAAGGTTGAACTGTCAGCATCTGGAGTGTGAGTCACCCGACTTCATCCCAGGCAAATGAGCAATGTTTCTTAAACCTTTACCGTTGGAACCCTATTAAACTTAATAAAAAAATAAGTATTTTTTTCTTTCAGAAATAGTGTTTTTGTATAACCGAAAAAGTTCTTTCTGTAGATTGTATTAGAGAAACATCAGGTTCCATCTCCATCCAGCAATGTAGTCTGTGTAAGCTCCATTAGATCCACCAAGCGTTTTCTGCGTTCTGAGTTTCGTAATTTCATAAATTCTTTCTTAATCGTCTACAGCGCATTTTCTTCCCGTAGTAAGAAGAGACCATGTCAATGTTCAAGTCTAATGGGACATCCCAAGAATGAAGTATTGTCTTAACAATCTAAGCGCGATATTCATCCTAGTAAAAAAAATAGTTGCTAAAATTAAGTCTAATAAAAAGGCATTGGCCAATACTATATGTACATATAGCGCAGACACGGTATGTCTTAAGACAAGTTAAGATAAACTTCGTGTTAAGTAAGAAGCCTTGCCGCGAACTCTTTAGTTTTTGACACACAAAGGTCGTCAACTTAAACGACGTTAAACACTAGAGAGAATTTCGACCATTCTGATCATTAGAGAACATCACATAAGCGGAGAATATTTGAAGTTTCTTCAAAAAGTTTTGAATCGTAATTGTGTTGCTAACGCCTCACCAAAAAAAACCGGAAGACATTTTAACACGTTCTTATTACAAGATGACTTAAAGTCTTTAACTTACAGCATGTTAACACTTATTAAATATAAACAAGGTTACAAAGACAGTTTATGTGGAAACACAAACTGAAAATCAGCCCCCGAAGTAGTCCACCTAGAGTCTTCACCAGGATTCGAACTTGGGACTTCCAAGTGCTTTACCCCTCAGCCACAACATCTCCATATACCGGTATTAATTTAGCGTACACATATATCTTAAAAAAAATAAAAATAATTAACCTTGTCCATACATTCAATAAAGAGAAACTAAAAAAGATTTATTCTTCTTACAAAATAAAATCAATTGGCAACACGAAAAAAAAAATAAAAAAATTCATGACCTATTTTAGTTAGGTAGTGATCTAGCTAGAAGTGATTTGAAAGACTTTAGTATTGAATTCTCAGATATTTCTGACAATTGTGACTACATGCAAGTGAAGTTTTGTCAAACTACAGTTGATCAAAAATTACTTAAAATCGAAGTTGACAAATTTACGACTTACAAATCTGGCATTTTTGTCCATTGAACAGGAGGGGAAAAAAAAAAAAAACTATCTCGATGAAATTATTGCTAGTTGCAAGAGAGCATGTAAGATTTAATAGTAGTACTTGTAAAATTCATTTTTGGCAAATTAGCAATACTTTAACGATGAATACCGGTACACGTTATTTTGAAAAAAAAAAAAAAAACCCTCCCGTCTTCTCCCTGTTTCATTTCGTTTATTTTTTTTAGTAGGGCATCACGAGGAGCTGCCATTAAATAGAACTACCGTACCTAAACTACGCCACTGAATGACACTGCAATCACATTCATGACTGACTTCGAATGAACCAATTTGAGACCATTACTATCATTAGGCTTTTGCAACAGAAAGTACTTTGTTAAATCGAATGAACCAATTTGAGACCATTACTATATTAGGCTTTTGCAACAGAAAAGTACTTTGTTAAATCGAATAAACAAATGTGAGACCATTACTATCATTAGGCTTTTGCAAAAGAAAAGTACTTTGTTAAACATATTTGAGTTTAGTATTCCTTTTTCGTTTTAAACGATAGTTCTAACTTGACTACAATTGGCCTATAGTTCATTCTAGAACCAAATATGTATTTTTATGATTTGTATGCAAGACTGTAAAATACATTTACCTTATTTCTGCGCTACGGTTGAAACCCCCTAATATAGGCTAAGCACTAACATTTATGCACATCGGTTGCCGGCCTTTAACAATACTTATGAAACGCCTCCCCCTTCTCAAAACCACTTTTTGGCCTTTGTATTATCCAGAGGAACATCTTCCATTCCCAACCATGATTTTCTTTTTCCACATCATTTAAATGGAAAGCCTGCATACCAGTTGCATTTAACAAATAACAATGTACCTGCACTACACATTCTGTACCCGTAAATTATGGAAGTACTGATTAATAATTATTCATTGAAGCTTTGCTCTTCCAGCAAGACCAGTCTGAAAGAAGAAACACTACTATTCGCAACTTAGCCCACTCTTTACACACAAATTTATTTTTTGATAGATCTTATATTGAGACGCACCTTATTTAGAAAAACACATCCACCCAAAGAAAAAAAGACCACACACAGGTACGCTTTAAATGGCTTTTAAATTCACTAGGAAATAAATAATGTACATAAACATTTAAAAAATGGCGGCTTTAAAAAGGACTGGGTTAAAATTGCGAATTTAAAAAAAAATCGTTTTTAGTAAATTGAACCACTGCAAGATTGATCTAGAAAATGGCTTAGTAGTTCTAATAACAGGTTCAATGTACTTCGTCAACGGCAAGTGGGAGAATTAGCGATTCAGAACTCATATATATGCTAAATAATAAACTACTTTTAACATGGCTAATTATTGAACAGTTATGAGTTGAAGTCTTAATAAAATTCCTACTTTTGGTACGGTAATCTAAATAAATGTTTCCTCAAATGATTTGTCACAGCTATGGACTGTTTTGAGTTTTTCTAAATCATTCTCTAACTACAGGTACAGCAATATATTACATTTTAGATCTACATGCTGAAAGTTAATTTGACAAATAAGGATGAATAGGAATGTAAGTCTTTTAGCAGAATGTTAACCGTTTCTCTCATATCATATTAAATTTCTCAGTCCTGGATCTAACACGATAATGCCATGCTATTGAAAAGGGATCTATTAAGGAGTCCAAATAAATGTATTAAAAGCTTGTGATTTTAATTTTTTTAAACAAATCTTTTTTCTTATTCTTATTTGAAACTGTACTCGTCCTATAAAGATAAGTATTGGTAATAGATATCAATTATCTGCTACCAGTATTGTCTTTTAATTTTCTAAATAATTATTCTACAGATCATATCAGGATTGGCACTGCTGGATGTTTACTGATGAAATTAGCACCCAATCCAATTTTTAAGGTATTTTGATTCTGCAAATGATTATACAAGCATTCAAAGAGAAATTCCATCAGATCTATTGCATTATGTATGGTTAGCCTATAGAGGTTCATAGAAGAAACAGTTCACCAACCAAGGCTATTAAGTCTCAAAGAGCTACCACATACAAATATATCTTCAGCTAAATTACTTTACAGAATTAATCATCTGAATTAACAATGAGCAAACAAATCTTATGTCAAGAGGCAGACAAAAGAACATCATTTATTGGTATGTGCACATCCACCACACAAGATGAAGATTAATGAAACCCTTCGTAGTATTTGTTTTTTGGAAATTAATGACAAATGTAGACAATTAGAACATGGTTGTTAAAGAATTGTATATAATCCATTGCCAGTACTACTTAAAATCCAGACATTTAAGAATAGCCCACAAACAGACTACATGCTTTAATAAGCTAAAGGCAACATCTTTTCCATTAACAGATAAAAAAACAAAAATCTTTTAAAATGTTTTAGTGTAGCAAAGGATGACCACTACGGAAAATTTGTCACAAAATTAGGATTAGAGTGTTTCAATTAGAATGAGAGAAAATTAAAACCAAAAAAAAATATGTAAAGCAATATTGAGGCAATGAAAAAAATGCTCTTCCAATAGATACTTAATTATAGAATAAAAAAACAATAAATAATGTTTGAACCACTTTGAAATTATTTTTTTAAAATTAAAAAGCCACATTTCAAATTAAGATAGCTCAAACTTAATGATTATCAACCTCAAGTATGGAACAGCCAACTGGGAGTAAAATTGCTTCAGATTGTATTATCAAAGCTACTTGACTAAAAACAATATTGAATTATTTTTCAACCAGTGAATGGTCATCCTTCACAATTTATTTGTCAACATACAACTTCTTTTCAAATTATTTGTAACATTTTTGGGTACATTCTAATATTAAGCAATTCCATAGATTTGAAAAAAAAAAAAAGAAAAAAGAAAAAAAAAAAAAGGGGGGGGGGGGGGGGGGGGAGGAGAAATAAAACTGAAAAGTCAACTTAAAGAAATTCACTGAATTATTACATTTCTACTCTGAACAATGGGACTTCCATTTACATTGCAGTACCAGTACACCTATTTTTTTGCAGCCATGGTCCAGTTATTTTTCTAGGTTCTTAAGTACTTTTTGGGCATTTTCTCAGGTAATATCATAATAACATTAGTCCCTATAAACTTATAAGTTGAAAAAAGTGAAAAAAAAACAACAACTCTTTTTCTATTTCTGTTATGTCTACATCATCAGCAGTGAAGTGGAAGGTACTTTAAAAATAAATATCCAAGCCAAAAAACTTTGCCGAATCTTCTATTACTTTCCATTTGGATACAAAAATGTGTTGATCAAGACATATACATTAGTGTTTAACTTCTTGAAAGTGCATAACTTTTTTGTTACACCGTTAAATATATCAATTCAAAACCACTTCTAAAACAATCATGATTTTAATAGTGTATTATTGTTAAACAGTAATTCAGCTCATAAAGGGATTGATATTACATTAACACCAGCAGATAATGTAAAATTTAAAAAAAAAAAAAGAAGTCTGCCATACATCAGAACCAACATGCAATATCCAGATAGTTAAACTAAAAGAATTTTTTATTAATTAATTAAAAGAATCTCCAGCTGTTTTAAAATGATAATGGTTTAAAATTTTTCCAAATCAATTAAAAAAAAAATGCTTATCGTAGTCTCGTTTCTGTCCTTAATATAAATATTTTTAAAAAAATAATAATATCATAAAAAATTCTAAAATGATCTGAAAAGTATAAATACAGAAATCTACTACTTTATTGAGGTTATGGAAAGTGAAAATATAATATACCTATTTTTCTTAGATTACCTTACAATAAGTTTTAAAACATTTAGACTAATCTGAAAACCCTATAAAAATCATTAATGAAAAATAAAAATGAAATCACATAACCATAATTATGCTAAACTAAGATTTAAACCTTAAATTAAAAAATCAACACATGATAGCCATTTTTCAACTTGTTTCCTTTTTTTTTTCCTGTAAGAAAAATGTAATTTGTTAAGTGAACTATTTATAAACTCACAACTATAAACCTTGTGTCTTGCGTGTACAAATGAATACTAATGAGCTATTCTGTTGCATTGTTTCCAACACATTACTTATCACTCTGAAATACTTTTAAAGTTGTTCCTATAATTAAATACAACTGCCAAAATTCAAATCCATAATGGTGGAAATTATTATGGACTGTGCTCAATGCTTTGATGAAGAGAAACAAATACTAAGCAATTTATTTCCTGTTTTTTTTTTGTTGTGGTTTTCAGAGCCAGCAGTCATCACTAGTCAGAATAACACAAGGTACAAAATAGTTGGTCTGATAGTTCATGTGATAGTTCGCTGATGCACATAGCATTGGAGTGCCTCATTACTCCCAAAATCATCTGGACATGTGGTGAGCTTCACTGAAGACATTTTTCAAGTTTAAAAAAGAGAATAATATGTACTTATAAGTAATCATTGATGATTAACACAGTTGTTTAGTGTCAAACTTCACTGTTCTTGAAATTAATAATTACATTTGATATAATAAAACAACAAACATGAGCAGTCTGTGGGGGTACTAACCTAAACAATGAAATACTAACACAGCCGAGAAACTAGATGGTTTATTGGAATTATCCTTGGCATCAATTGAAATAAAGCAGTCCTTTGTCTGTTCATATTAGTTTAATGCGGTTTCAAGCTTGTTGTCATACTGGAATAAAAATAGTGTCTAGTATTTTATTTCACTTTAAATTGGAAAAACTAAAAGAAAGGGAAACGATGATTGAACAGCATGAGTTTGTGGTACCAGGGTCTATTGTTGTATCAGCAGTGAAATATGCTCCATGTCTTATCACTATTCCATTTATGAAATATTGTTGTCTGTTGAGTCTTTTCAAAATGTAATGCATAATTAGCTGAAACATGATCCTCAAAGAATTCCTTTAGTCCTCAACCTCACAAAATCTGATAAACACCACCAAGTAATGTATGGGGAAAAAATGACTCCATAATTACAATTGGAAAAAAAAAAATTTAAATAAAGAAAAGGTAAAACTTATCCAAGTTTCAGTATTAACTTGGTTGATGCTATGAATGCTAAAATGTTTCCACAAGAAAAAAAAAAAAGATTAAAGAATTAAAGAGCAGCACATGATCTGGGATTAGGATTCATCTGAACCTCTCACAAATATTGATGATTATGGTTTGAAATATTTCCAGTGATGAGGAAAGAAGATCCTGGACAGAAGAATTTATTCCTGTCTTCCGGGACGACCACCACCAGATCCACCATCATGACCACCTCTGCGGTTCTCCTGTGAAATATATAATGAAATCTTATGTCTCAAACAACACAAAAAGATGTAGAAATAATATTATAATAATGAAAAAAATTACATTTTAACCTTTAGACAACTAGAGTCACCGGGAGTCGCTGCTACCGGTTGACAACTAGAGTCGCCGGGAGTTGTCTGCAATTGCCGATTTTGGGTTGTTTCGTTTACGCACGCACTGCTAGTTTTTAAATAGCTATTTATACCTTTACTAACTCTGACCTAAATAGCTATTTATACCTTTACTAACTCTGACCTAGAAGAGCAATAGTGATGCTATTTTTAGGTGTTTATTTTGTATCCGCAGCATGTTAGAATGGATTTTAATGATTTTTTGAAAATTATGTTTTATTTTGGCTAGCCTAGAAAATGTTTAGGCTCTAATAAAATAAGATTTTAATGGGAATATTAATGTTTAAGCTGTAGAATAAGGATATAATGATTGGGGTAAGTGATTTAGAACCATTTAAGACCGATAGTAGTGAAAATAAATAAAAAAATTGATGCTAGATCCAGTTTTGAATATGTTAGATCTAGTCAAACGGGAGAATGGAAGGCAATGAAATCTGACGTGATATTTCAATGTTTTTGAGCTCTGTAGGCCTATTTATGACTTCAAACATGATGCTTAACCCTAGGTCTATTTTTCTATTATCAAAAGAAGGTTTTTGTTAGTTTCTTTCTGTGAATTTATTCAAAAAATCGATTTTTTAAAAAACTGATACAGAGTTATATCCCTTCTCTTAGGGATGGGGTAGATAGTTTCTTACAACTGCTTAGTGGTGAAATGGTTAATGCTGGTGGCATGTACAATCAACACCATCTTGACAATTGTCAAAGCAAAGCAATTAGTTGTTTTTTTAATAGCTACTATAAAGGTTCTATCTAGGACCATTTAGATTTTGATCTTATACCCAACATAAATTGGAATTTTTATTAGTAAGCTAAAAAGTCACATACCCGATTTCTATTTCCAGGAGGACCATCTCGTCTGTCCCTATCCACTCTGTCTCTGTCTCCACGATCTCTGTCACTGCCACCTCCTCCTCTGTGTTCTCTATCTCCACCACGATGATCACCTCTCTCATTGCGAGTTTCACGATGTGCAGTACCTGAATGAGCATCCTCTTCCTGTCGCTTTTCATAGTGGATAAAGTCATCAAAGATTGATGTGGTGTGCTTGTAGCTGTGAACAATGCGCAAGACCTGCTTGCCCTTTTCAGGTGGTACTTCTTGTGTGTCTCTCGAGTTAGTCACTGGCTTGTTCTCATTATTCTCTAAACGAATGTGCCTAAGCTGGCTATTGGGAACATCTTTTACATACACCCATTTCACTACAAACTGACCTTTCCACTTGTCTTGGGCCCAGACACCAGCACTTTTGTTGTAATCCACAGGGGACATCATTTGTGCTATGCCGCAAAAATGACCACTTCCGTTTACTGAATAAATGAGGTAGACAGGTCCTTTACCTTCACGCTCTCTGAAAGCCTGGTCCAAACGTTTATTCCCATGATCTGTGCTGCACCAGATGTTGTACTTGATGGAACGGTGAATGTCATCCTCTGAGTATGACTTAATAATAAAGAAACGAGCAGATCTGGGGTTAAGGTTGAATTCCTTTGGATTATACAGGTTGGAAGATTTCAATTGGTCCAAAACAGGGTGAGAGGAAACTGGAGGGTTGCTGTGGCTACTTTCACCATTCGTTGTGGCACAGTTGTTTGTACTACTTCTATTTGATGGAGCACCCCCTGATGATTGATTATAGTTGGTAGAATATGGTGGACTGTGATTGCCCTGGACCACAGGTACTGCGCTAACGCTGCTGCTATTGTTGTTTGAGTTGAGGTTTGTGCTGCTGACAGTGGGTTCATTTCCTGGACCACTGGTGGAGTGGGGTTGGATTTGCCTTGCTCGCGGAGTAGTGTTTGCCCAACTCTGACGAGCCTGTGGCGGTTGGGAAGAAGGCGGTTGTGGTGGTGGTACAGATGCCTTGTTGGGGTTGCCCCTGCCATCCCAGGTTCCAATATCCATGTTATGGGGTTTATTAGGGTGTGCAGGTGCACGTGGTATAGTTCTTGGCCTGAGCTGTTGCTGTGGTCTTGCAGGTTGACTAGCAATAGCTGCCCAAGTTGACTTTTTGCTCTGGCTTTGACTGCTTCCACCTGTGCTTCCGCCACCCATCATGGATGACTGAAGCGATTGTGAATGTGATGAGGACATCATCTGGGAAGTATCACCACCTCCAAACCCATCAGACATCACTGGAGGTTGACTGTAATCTATCTTTTTTCTTCCAGAATCCATAGTGGAGGAGCTGGGGGAAGCCAAGGTCATGCCACGCATACCTTGCTCCACAGTTCCAATAGGCTCTTGGGGCTCAGGTGGTGCTGATGCCCCATTCATCATGCTGTAATTGTCAGGAGGCATCATTTCTGGAGGATAATAGGGATCTTCTGATGAATAGCCTCGCTGATCCTTTCGAACAGGTTGAGTAGTGCCCCAGTAGTCACTAGTAGCATACTCCCAATTATTGAAAGGGAATCCGAAACCGCCATAAACATTACTATAGTCATAGCCCATTCCAAACATTGTATCAGCCCCATTT